AAAATACAAATCAGAAATGAAAAGGGAGAAATTGCTATAGAGCCAGTGGCTGTAAACATGTAAAGGAAGGATATTATGAATAATTTTATGCCTGCTAATCTGACAAACGTAGTAAGAAATCTGTAATAAAAACGTTCCTAGACAGAAAACACCAATCTTATATTTGCTTGACTGCTGACTTGAAATCTTATCAAAATTATACAAATCTTAAAAAGGATGAAAAAGAGGANATATCTGGTCCTGATACCAACTTTTTAGATGGGTAATAACCAGAATCATCTTAATTTATTTCATATAATTATTTTGTGCATATGTGTATGTTACATATATAAAACATATATATATATAGCCTTATTTAGACATACATGTACATATTTTATGCATCCAATATTTTATCAAATAAATCTATACGCATCTGTATATATGTTATATACCTATAACTACATTTTTCAATAAATTATGTAAATTTCACTCTTTTTATTCAAATATTATGTAGTTTTAACGTCTTTTTTTTTCTTAATATCTTTAAAGTGGATTACTAACTATTCATATGAATGCCATCAATTTTGATAAAATACATATCTATTTGAGTGGATGTGTAAGTACTATATTGGTCAGTTTTTGAACAGGAACAATTGGTAACAAACCACTTTGAAGTCAGTGTCTTAAAACACTAAATATTTATTTTCATGTTAATGAATATTCATTTTAATAATCATCTGGCTGATCAATGGAGGGTGGTTCTGCTGATATGCACTGAGCTTGCCTCCAGCCTATGGATTGGGTTATCCTGAGGCCAAAGCTGAAGGACAGTGACTACCTGGAACACAACATTGCTGTGGCAGGTTGCAGGAGTGAATAACACCACAAACCGAGCTCCACAGGCAAATTTAAGTCAAACAACCTCTATCACAGGTGCACACAATTTTAATTTATTATTTCATCATGGTAATTCCTAACATTTCTGAAACTATTTACTCCATTTAATTATCAAGGTATCTCATCATATCCAAATATTTATATTTTCAACCTTTACAATTTAAAAAAATACTTTTCATGGGCAGGCCCCGTGGCTCACTCGGGTGAGTGCAGCACTGGATGACCAGTGTGCTCACTGGCTGAGCATGGTGCAGACCACACAGTGCTGAGGGTTGTGATCCCCTTACTGGTCAGGAAAAAATATATATACTTTTCAAATGTGATTTTGCATGAATTAGAAAATGGTGGTACGGGCCGGCCCAGTGGCGCACTGGAGAGTGTGCCGCTTGGGAGCGCGGCAGTACTCCCGCCGAGGGTTCGGATCCCATGTGGAGACCGGTTCCTGCTCACTGGCTGAGCGCAGTGCGGGCGCAACACCGAGGATTGCAATCCCATTGCCGGTCCCCGGTACGGGCGCGACACTGAGGGTTGCGATCCCGTTACCGGTCAGTAAAAAAAGACAAAAAGGAAAAAAAAGAAAAAAGAAAATGGTGGTACACAGTAGTGCTCAGCATCTGTAATTAACAGTAATTTATTGTATGTCCTCAAATGGCTAGAAGAAAGGAGCTCAAATGTTCTCATAACAAAAAATGATAAATTTTTACAATGATGAATTTGCTAACTACCGTAATTTGACCACTACACATTTGTACATTTGTTGAAATATAATTCTGTATCCCATAAATGTGTACAATCAATGTTTCAATTAAAAAATAAATAAATTCCTTACAAAAATAAAACAAACATGGTTGTGTTTTCAGTACGTGGCTTTATATAGAATTTTTCTAAAATGACCTCTGAGGAATGAAAAAAAAATCTCTTGAGCTGAAGTGAATGTTCCCTAAAACATAGCTTCTTAAGCCTTCTCCAGATTCTGTGTTATCTTGTTAAAGTGCAGATCGTCCTTCAGCAGGTGTCAAGCAGGAATCTCAGATCCTTCTTCCCATTCCGGCACAGGCCGTGAGTCAGGTAATTGAAAGAAGACATCTGGCAGCTTTATGTAAGGTAGACATGCTTTATGCTTCAGATGTGAGCTTCACAGACATGCTTTATCCTCAGACATGAGCTCTGCCATTCCCTCTGCTGCTCTGCTGACCAGCAGTTCAGAGCAGTTACCTTTATGCTTTTAGTGCACAGTAGAGGCCACAAGTCAAACATTGCATAATTACAACAATCATGCTGAGTCACTAAATGGGAACACACGTGCAGTTACACTACTTTTATAACTTGTTTCTAGTGAATGTGCTGAATCTTGCCCATTTGTAATGGATGTAAGGCGAGAGAGCCTGACTCAACTTTTCTACTTTCCTTACAGCGGGTATAAGTTGATTCTACTCATGTGCATTTGTAACATGCTCTCACTGATGCTGGTGATACTGTTGGCTTCTGAACAGATACTGAGCAGCAAGGTATTTTTATATTGAAGTCAAAGAATATTACATTAATGTTTGAGATTTTTGAGGAACATAATAAAGGTTTTTCATTCATTTGTTAAATGATTGTTATACATTTCATGCAATTTCCTCATTTTTCTCCTTACCCTATGACTTAATAAAGTTGTCTTGCTGCTCGTACTGGGAAGCACATCAAGTATACTATGGCTCCATCCCTATCAGGCAAAATTCTGAGACTTGGGGAAATAGTGACAACATTGGCATGACAACTGTCAAGTACCATTATCATCACTTCTGGAAGCACAGTTCTCAGAACTCTTTTCCCCTTTGTAGTTTTCTGTACAGTTGCTCAATGAAGGGCCTTCCATGAGATTAGGAAATCAGAAGAAGAGGATTCAATTCTGTCCATCAGCATCTGCAGACAGACACATGGACAGAGGAGAGGACTCGAGAGTCACCTGGGGAGGTGCTGCAAGCAATTGACAGCATCAGCACCCCCACCCTGGGCTTTCCAGACAGGTCTGAGGACCACAAGGTTAGGCAGCCTGTGCTTCCCATGGCAGACGTGCTCTGGTGGAACAGCAGAGAATTTCATTTCTATTATCAGCTTCCCTGATCACCACATTGAAGCCTTTGAAAGGCAGTAGTTTAGACTAAAATTCCCTGTAATGAAATAATTCCTGCTTGGAATATCTAGAGTAGCTTCTCTTTTTGCTGTATGAATCTCAACTGATGCATGAAGACAGTCTGCTCAGCTGTAATAATCTCCGTACATTATTAAATCGGGAGAGGCATTGTCATTTCTGTGCTGAGGATGAAGAAAGAGGGTCAGTGTGCAGAGGAACCTCTCTGGTTCCTTCTACCAAAACCTTCCAGCGACCTTCAGAGCGTGCTGTGTCTGAGAAATGCTGTCAAGAGATGGACACACCAAGAGGAACAGGTGGAGCAGCCCAGCCTCACACATCTGCTTCCCTTGAGGGTTTTTGTTTGGGCTTGTAACACCGTGGAGGGCTCACTTTGATACTCCTGACAGTAATAAGTTGCAATATCTTCAGGCTGTAGGTTGCTGATGGTGAGAGTGAAATCTGTCCCAGAGCCACTGCCGCTGAACCGCGAGGGGACTCCGGTGTGCAAACTTGATGCATCATAGATCAAGAGTGTAGGAGATTTCCCTGGTTTTTGTTGATACCAGGCTAAATACCTGTTAATGCCCTGACTAGCCTGGCGAGTGATGGTGGCTGAGTCTCCTACAGATGCAGACAGGAAGGAGGGAGACTGGGTCATCTGGATGTCACATTTGGCACCTGAGATTGGAAACATAAAGACACATATCCACACTATTAATCATGTTACAAGAGAACTTCTCTGAAAAACCAGACAGTACTGACTTAACTGAGCTGAGTAAATTCCTGGTGTTCTCCCTCCTTACCTGGGAGCCAGAGCAGCAGGAGCCCCAAGAGCTGAGTGGGGGCCCTCATGTCAATGCTGTGTCCTGACTGGGACTGACTCCTGCACAGGGTGTGCCCAGCCTATGAATAAGTCTTCAGGGCAGTGGGCTGTGCTCTGGGAAGATGCAAATCACAGGGGCTGGTGTAGGGTTGTGCACAGCTGCAGGACAGGCTCATCTCAGTTTCTCAGAACGTGCACAATGTCCCCAGGTGTCCCAGTCAGACCTGGGCAGCACAGACTTGTCTACAGATATGGTATTTCTCTCTGGAGGTCATTTTATTACAAAAAACTTCTTTGGAACAACTGTCAAAATCTGAAATTGACTGGAGGATTAGACAAAGTATACGTTTCATAGTGTTATTGGGATTATGTAGGAGAATATCCTTGTTTGTATGAAACACATACCCAAGTCTTAGAGGGTGGGGCTATCAGGTCTTCAACTTACTTTCAAATGTTTCTGGTTGGGGTAGGGGAGACTTTGTCCTGTACTCACAACATTTCTGTGACTGTGAAACTGTTTCTTTCTTTCTTTCTTTCTTTCTTTCTTTCTTTCTTTCTTTCTTTCTTTCTTTCTTTCTTTCTTTCTTTCTTTCTTTCTTTCTTTTTTAATATAAAAGTGCATTTATCAGGAGAATGTTAAAATATTTGTAGCATTGCGTTATGGCCCTAAGCCATGGTTATTACCAGTATAATGTCAAACGTTTTACTGCAGATACACAAAGATAATGCCCTGTTTCCTCAGTGTGTATGTCTCTCTCAGATCCACCTTTATCGAAAGCTGTAAGTCTCTTTAATATCCAGGGACTATAAGACACAGCATTTGTTCTTGGTTTGG